TCTCATCATCATCATCGTCGTCGTCGTCAGTATCATCATCATCATCATCTTTCTCCTTCATTTTTGTCATGATTATCACTATTTTTCACCAATATTAACAGCATATTTTTCATCGTTTTAATTCCGTCTTCATATTTGCCATCATCATCACCACCACCACGACCATCATCAACAGTAGAATACTCACCACCGCCATCATCATCATCATCAACACCACCAACATCATCATCATGACGAAGACCGTGATGCCGTGTAAGCATTCAGTTGGTCTTTCGCTTGATATATTACTTCCTGCGCTAGAACATTGCACTATTGCAGATGCTGCAACCGACCGATGTCGTTGCTGCTGTTGTGGCTGCTGTGGTGGCTGCTGACGCCGCTGTTGTTGCTGGTGGTGTCGTTGATGTTTTTGTTGATGTTATTGCAAAAAAGTAGAATTCAAAAATCAAAAAATTTGCACGTATTTCGGTTTTTAAGTCGGTTTTTATACATTTAGTATATCATCTTATTGCTTATTTTTCTATCTATCCATCTTTTCATTCATTCATTCATCTATTCATCCATCCATTCATTCATCCATCTATCCATCCATCTATCCATCCATTAATCCATCCATCAATCAGGAAGCGGTCAAATCCAGTTATGGCAGTTCTTGCTAGAGTTACTTTCTAGCCAAGAAAACTGCGGTTGCATATCATGGGAAGGTTAGCATGAGAGAGATGGTGTAATGGTTGAAGCGTCTGGTTCTGATCTCGCAGTGACCGTGTTCGAATGCCAGCACATCACGCCTGTCATGAGTGAATGAGCTTATGATTTGCTGTTGTTGTTGCTGTTGTTGTTGTTGCTGGTACATTTGAAAAATAACTAAGATAAATTTATTTATATATATTATTATTCAAATTTTTAATAAATAACGAAATTTAAAACTATTTTAAAAATAAATTTAAATTTACGCGGTGAAGGTACGAATGGAGAGTTCAAATTGGTGGACCCGGACGAAGTTGCACGGCGATGGGGCGAGAGGAAAAGCAAACCCAACATGAATTACGATAAACTAAGCAGGGCCTTGAGGTGCGTGCCTTGTGCTACTTTTTCATGTTGCTACCCACCCTGTTCTCAATTTCGTAAATGTTTGCTAATTTGTTATCTCTGTTGTCGCTATAGCAAGTTTATTCTTATTCATATGCTGTTATATCAGTTTTTAACTGCACATAACAAAAACGTGAGACGATCATCAGAATTATTATAATCATCGTCTTCATCATCGTCATCGTCGTCATCTTCGTCCCTACCCCTCCCCAACAGATACTACTACGACAAAAACATAATGACGAAAGTTCACGGGAAGAGGTACGCCTACAAATTCGACTTCGTCGGTCTGGCCCAAGCCATGCAACCAAGCACAACCGACCCTACTTCATCAGTCCAGAAATACCACCAAAGACAGAATGATTTTTTCTTCGGGGGCTATGCCCCGGGCCCGAACAGGCACCATCTTAATTTTATGAAACCCACCCCGACCAGACAGCTTCCGCAACATACGTCATCGTTATTTCCACACGCCACCTCGCACGCTTATTGGTCGGCAGCCTCTCCAGCTCCGCCCCCTTCGTTTTATTATAATTTCTCGCCCCAATCATCCATTCAGAATCAACAGCAGATGTACGTGACGTCACATTTCGGTCCATACGTCTGATTGGTTGTTGGGTTTTGGGTGATGGAGTGATGAGAAAAAAATTGAGCGAATGAATGAATGAATGAATGAATGAATAAATGAATGAATGAATGAATGAATGAATAAATGAATGATAAATTTTTTACGAACCTTTTTGAATGAATGAATTAAGAACGAACAAATGAACGATCAATTATAACGTATACAATAGTATTGAATGAATAAATGAATGAATCAATGAATGAGTGAGTGAGTGAATGAATGAATGTATTTATTTATGTACATGTAAACTATAACAATAACTATAGTTGATTTAATATTTCATTTTTTGACAAGTTATTTAAGAATTTGTAACAAAAAATCAACGACCTATAAAAGATTTTTCAATTTTTTCCGTAAGCCATCAAGCCTGTTAAAACTAATACAAAATAAAAATAAATCCATTTTTGTTTAATACATAAAAGGCATTTTTATATTTCGTAAAAGATATATCTCAAATTTCCAAACCAAAGTTTAAACAAACTCAGCAAAAACTCAAATCTAAACATAGTAGGTAATTAGACATATATGGAGCAATCTTCAAACAATATGTCTATTTAGACCTACATAAACATACGTATGACGTGTATTCAAACACACACACACACCACACACACACACACACACACACACACACACACATACATATACACATATCAACGAACAACAAAAGCAACAACTTCAACACTGAACTCAAAGAACCGCATAAACATTTACATCCCTGTATGTTATACATACATTAAGCTATATTGTATTAGAGGCTTAAATTTCTAGCAGCGCAATTTTCTAATAGAAAAGAATAACTTTTTAAACAGTTGGACATTTAAACAAAATTCTTTTAACTAACGAAATAGTGACAGAGATTCATATACAAGCAAACAGACAGACCCACAAACAAACAAATAAATGCGGAAACTTACACGCAATTGCACGCGCATGTATGCCCTGACGATACAGAAGACTTAATTGGCAATCAATAAATTTCACTCTGGACTTTTTAACAATAGTTGCGCTAGCAGGCCAAGTGGGCTAATCAACTAACCAACCAACCAGCCGATCAACCATCCAACCAACCATCCGATCAACCATCCAACCAACCAACCGATCAACCATCCAACCAACCAACCGACTAACTAACTAACCATCCAACCAACCGACTAACCAACCAAACAACCGACCGACCAACCAACTAACCAACAAACTAAACAACTAACAAGCCAGTCAACCATCCAACCAACCAACCAACCAACCAGCCAACCAACCAACCAACCAACCAACCAATCAGTCAACCAATCAACCTAGCAAGCAAGCAAACGTTAATTGATACATTAAATTCTTCGTTAATAAAATGAACCAGGTTGGCACTAAACATTAATCCAGTGACCAAATAGGGAGGTAGTTTCCATCCAGACGAGATTGCTACGTTATATATGTACGTATATGTGTGTGTGTATATATGTGTGTGTGTTTATATATATGTGTGTGATTATGTGTATGTGTGTGCTAGTATGTGTGTTTATGTGCATGTTTTATAAGCATATATATTTGTATGTTTATCTTTTAAAAAATATGTTTATATGCGTATATACATGTGTGTGTGTGTGTGTGTGTGTACGTGTGACGTTATCAATTAAGTTAGGACGCACGCGGTGTAATGTCACGTGATGTGTTTGTTTATTTTGTTTTGTTGATGTTATTTTTGTTTTTCTGTATGTTTGTTTGCTTGTTTCATGTTGTAATGTGTTTGCTGATATTTATGATCTTTTTCTGGGTGGATGTTATATGTGATTGTTGATTCATGACGTCATTGCTTGCTTGGCTTGTGATGACGCTGTTGTTTATGTTAATCGTTGTTGTTGTTTTTGTTGCTTGTTATATTGATATCATTGGAAGAATTTTTTGGACTTTGATTTAGTGATTTTATAAGTTAGTAGTAGTAACAGTAGTAGTAGTAGCTACAGCAGCAGCAGCAGCAGCAGTAGTAGTAGTAGTAGCAGCAGTAGCAGTAGTAGTAGTAGCATCATCGGTGTTATGTAGTAGTAGCAGTATGTTATAGTTGTTGGATTGGAATTTGCCCAGTCGGCGGTCATTTTATTAAGAGATCTCAACTCTCAGCTTCTACACTATTTTTAACCTTTCGTGCTTCTATGTATGTTTGTGTGTGTGTGTGTTTATGTGGAAGTGTGTGTATATATATATGTGTGTGTGTATGTGTGTGTGTTTATGTGGAAGTGTGTATATATATATATATATATGTGTGTGTGTGTGTGTGTGTGCAACAGTATATTAGTTTAAATTGTTAATAATACTATCACTACTGCTGCTGCTACTACTACTACTACTACTACTACTACTACTACTACTGCTACCACAACAACAACAACAACTACTGCTACTACTACTCTTACTACAACTATTGAAAATAATAACGATTAGTTATTGTTAAATTAAATCAATGTTTAGAAAAATGTTGATCAGATAGATGTGATTACTCAAATATCACTGTATAGCACGTACTAGGTAGAAAGTAACACAAATTGATTGTTTCCAAAAAGCAGAAATTTAGGAGAAAAAATATTGTTTATGACTAAATTATGACTTTAAATTCTCAATTGTTGTAATATTTAAAAAAAACAATCCTTACTAGATGAATATTTTACTTATTTTTTTTAATACATTGGTAATGAAAGAAAAGAGGTGTGACCAAGGGGGGGAGTTTTCGGGCTAAAGCCTCCTTACTTCAATAGACATTTTCGTTATGGTTAAGTTAACATTTCATAAATTTTCACGTAACTTTTATGAATTCTTGTCTCCAGATAGTTGCAGTTACATTAGCAATAGTGATTTTCTGCAAAATCGAAATAAAATTCGAAGATTTCATTTCTGAAATCTAGGTCTCGATATGGAGGTCACGAAATTAATGTGGACTGTGGAAGAGAATGTTGTCGACTTGTTTTCTAGAACTTTCATGAATTTTTTCCGTGGCTAAATCATTAATTTTGTCAATTTGTTAGCATTATTTTCAAAATTCTGCCATTTCTCACGCTTCTCATGTTAGTTTAATAGATCGCAAAAACGTTTCAAACGTGATTATCCTAATTAATTAGCAAATGCCAGATGAGTTTTTTTTAAAATCTACCCGAAAATTTTATTTAAACTCTGCTTGGTGATAAGCATGATGTTCTTTATTTCGCAGTTTGTTAAATAGATTACTGAATTTTATTTTACAAAATGTATTTAATTAACTTTGTGGCAGTGCTATGCATTCTGTTCTTGAATTGCAATTATGAAGTCTTAGGCGATCAGAAAGGTAGGATAGGACAATTAATGTAAACGCTATCTTTTCAGTTTTAAGGACAACAAAAAATCCCTTCAGAATTCGGTTTCTGATTTTTTTAGTTCTTCATTTATACACACGCACGCACGCACACGCACACACACACACAAACGCGCACACACATACACACACACACACAAATACACAAATAATAACACGCCTTTATACGCGCGTGTTAACATTAGGCACGCAATTTATAATAAAGAATGCCCTGAAATCGCCGTCGGCTAGCCAAAGTTATCGCCGAGATCTCAAACAACGTTGATGACGTTGCGCAAGAACGAGTAGAACCGCTGATGGCTGCCAATTATTTGCAAAATTTATTACATTTAATTATTATTATTATTATTTTTAATTATTATATAAATATATCAATAATAATTTTATTATTAGTTATCTCATTATATAACGTCATTACAACATTTCGCCGCCTTGTCTTAGAAATAACAAAATTGTTGTTAACATCATGTGAAACTACTTTTATAAATCTAGTTGATGATTGGTCGACAAAAATGTTGTACCAACCACACACATATACTTCAAAAACTTTGCAGACTTTAAGAGGGTTTGTTACTATACAAACTGGGCCCAGTATAGACCGGGTGATGGAGCCTACAAGCCTGAAAATATCGACCCCTCCCTATGCACTCACATCATGTATGCTTTCGGTAAACTGGTGGATGGCCAACTCCTTCCATTTGAGTGGAATGACGAAACTTCTGGCTCTAAGGGCATGTTGGTCTTTTAATGAATTAGTGAAAAATAATTGAAATGAATATTTTTTAGATAAATTAATTAAATTAAGTTTTTATAAATAGATTAAATTAACTATTTTGAATATTTCAATAGAAATGTTAAAGGGTGACTTGAAGAAACTATAACTTTTCTAGATATAACAAAAAATTACCATAGTTGATACAAAATTCGCACTAAAACTACATCAACCAACAAAAAAATTTCCAGGTTCGAGAGAGTAACCGATCTGAAGAAAGTGAACAAAGACTTAAAGGTCATCCTATCAGTTGGAGGTTGGAACGCAGGCACGGCAGAGATGACCAAGATGCTGGCCACACCACAGAACAGGAAAGCATTCATCGAGCAATCTATAAAATACTTGAGGAAGTGGAACTTTGATGGACTGGACATGGATTTTGAATATCCGAGAGGTGGGGATAAGCAGAAGATGACCGCTTTGATTCAGGTTTGGGTTAAAAATACCAGTTTAAAAACTATTAGTGTTATCGAAAATTTATTTTGAAAAAGAAAATTGAGTTATATCATTTAAAAAGCTAAAATATAACAAAATTACAAGATTTCAAATTGAAAATATTTATTTTCAAAAACAAAATCGTCCAGGAAATTCGCGACGCGTACACAAAGGAGAGCCAGTCTTCAGGCAAGCCAGCCATGCATCTGAGCATCGCCATCCCAGCTAGCAAAGAGAACATCGATAATGCTTACGAACTGCACAAGATAAAAAAGTACTTGAAATTATTTCTAAATTTATTTATTTATTCACTTGAATCGACGTGAAATTATATCTAAATAATTCATTAAAACAATGTAGGAGCTACTATTTGGAGTTGTAAATATGGGTGTAGTATGATGTCATTATTATGTCTAATTAGATTGAAATAAGTTTTAAAAGTCATCTTTGAAATTATAAAATATATTTTATTTAATATTATTAATTAAAACAAAATGAAAAATTTTTCATCAATGAACTTTAGTAACTTGGACTTCATCGGCATAATGTCATATGACTATCACGGAGCCTGGGACCGTGTTACTGGCCACAATTCACCGTTGAATGCTAAGGATAATCTAGCTCTGGTAATGCAACAAGAATTTTGCCAATGTGTGGCAAGACGTTTCATGCGTACTTGTATGTGTGTGTCATTTGTAGTTTTTAAGTAGCTTAATAACCTTTACAATTACCACTGTTTTTCAATGAATGAATAATTTTTTTGTGCCACGTTCACTAATTATTAATAGAGTTGGAGCGCTGACTACGTTGAAAAAAATGAAGTAGAACCATCGAAAATAGTAGTAGGCATGGCACTCTATGGCAGGTGTTTTACACTGGCCGATCCCAAGAACAACGGGCTGGGGGCTCCGGTTACTGGCCCGTGTCCGGCAGGTACATACACTAGAGAGGGCGGAATTCTATCTTACTATGAAGTAAAGTTTAAGTTGTCAAACGGAATGATGGTATATTTATAATTAAATTTTTTTTATTATTTCTTCAATTTTGGTTTCATTAATAGTTTGTTAATTTTTTTCTTTAAATATTATTTTAAATAATAATTTAATAAATCTTTTTTGAAATAAAGGTATGTAGTACCTACCTCTCCAACCCCTAAACAACGGTTCACTGGTCAGACGAGCTACAATCTCCTTATTTGGTCAGTGGAAATGTTTGGGTTGGCTATGATGACCAGAAGAGTCTTGCCAAAAAAGTAATAATAATAATAAATCATTATTTAAAATTTGTAATCAATAATCAAATTTATAAAAAAATCGTGTGAAATTTTCGGAAAAATAAGTATCTCAGACTGATCGGGGTAATTTAGAATGTGTAGTTTGGATACCTAGTTTTGTCGTTTTACGTTTTTGTTTCATTCCCAAATTAATGACAAAAATGATGAAAAAAAACTATTTGACAATTCCCTTCCAAAAGTTGGAATCTGTGAAATCAAAAAACTACGGTGGCTGGATGGTGTGGGATCTGTCGTTTGATGATTTCAGCGGGAAGTTCTGCGATTCAAAGACTAAATACCCCCTACTGAGCACTCTCAACTCAAAAGCTGTCGCAAAGTAATTTGGATCTCTCTACTTTTTAAATAATACATTTTTAATCTAAGGTATATGTTTAAATATTATTTCTACGTTAAGTAAAAATTAACAAAATTTCAGCCCAAACAAGAAACCGGCAACCAAGCCAGAGGAGAAACCAGTTCAGCCAGCACCAAAACCAGTCCAGCCCCCGGTTCAGCCAGTCCCTTCCGCTCCAAAACAACCGGGTAAGAAAAATTTTTATATCCGAAAAATTTATTACAACCAAGACATTTTAATCTACATCTAGCATATTGAAAACCCTCGTAGAATGACACCTAAATAGATTTTAGTACATGAAAACTGCAACAAAATCAAAACTAGATAATGATTCGGTAAGAGTAACAACCCTTCACACGTTGCAATAATCCCATTTTAGAAAGTTCGGCAGCTAGAGACTGCAGTCAGCCGGGCATCTTTCCAGATCCATCCAGTTGTTCCAAGTACATCCAATGTGCCAACGGCAATAAGTACAACTTCGATTGCCAGCCAGGCCTCTACTTCAATACAGAGAGCAGCGTCTGTGATTGGGCTTCGGGACTTTCAGCTGCCAGGAAAAAACAATGTGGTCTTCCATAGAAGACATTTTGCCGTCATGTCGATCCAATTAATTAATCAAACAATTAATCAACCAACTATTGAGTTGATTAATTAATTAATTGATGATTTAATTATTCAAACCATTGATGATCAATGTTTATTAATAAACAAATTTTTAAATTACGGTTATGGCTAAATCATTTTTTTGATTTGCAAAATAAAATTTAACGAAATTATGTTTTAGTTTATTTTCGGTAAGAATGAATTAAATTTTTTTTTGATCAGACCGTGCAATGAGGGTCATGTTAGCGAATTACAAAACTTAACAGTGGCGTGGCCGACCATGGTGATGTTGTTCTTGGAAGTCAGTAAAACTCCGTTAGACAGGAAAACACCTTTTAAAAGTATAAATTGTACAAAAATTGACGTGATAAGAAATGAATAAAAGAATCCTGATTTTGGCCAGACTAGCGAACAATTGGTGAATATCTTGACTCAGCGTCAAATTTTTACCTTTTTCAAACTTTGGCCCCCTTCAACGATGTCAAGATCCACCACTAAACGTTACGTTATAGCCTTTTATTTCAATAAACTAGTATTTCTTATTAGTGTCACAATTTTAAATAAAATAATCAGAGTGTTGTTTGTCCACACTGACAACACAACAACAACAAAAACTCATTAAAGAATGTCTCACTAGTTAACTTTGAAAAGAATATTTTGATCGCACCGATCAGGTCGCTAATTACAATTTACCGTTTAATATCCACTAAAGTTTATCGAAATATATTCGCTTTGAGTTGAATAATAATTCAAATAATTAATTTTATATGATATGATAACACGATTCAAACTATGTATATATACCTACTTGCTACAAGTGACTCTTCAATATTTCTTAGAAGCATCATTGACAGCAAACACACAGTGCATGTATCAATAGTATCAATATAGTATCATGTATCAAAACACGTGAAACAACACATTATACGCATTGCAGGGGATAGCAGTGGCCGCAAGATTACACATAATTACACTTGAGATCACACGCCATCACACAATCTACGCGTCTGCTATATTAAACAACATCTCCAAAGTCGAATGAAGTCATTGAAATTAATGGCTTCTATTATGTATTCTATACGATTGTTGAAAATGTTACTGATGACTTCAAGTACTGTAAAAAACAGACACACACACACACTCATACACTCATACAAATACACACACCCACACACGCACACACACACACCCACCCACACACACACACACACATATATATATATATATATATATATTTATATATATATATATACACATATATATATATATATATTTATATATATATATATATATATATAGAGAGAGAGAGAGAGAGGGAGAAAGAGAGAGCATAAAACTTGAAGAGCATGATAGAGAAAGATTTATTTGCATTATAAAACTTATTTCATAAATATTTCATAATAGTATTATTAATAAAAAGAATAATAATAGACAAAAAAACGAAAAAATCTGTAAATATAAAAAAGTTAAAAATCCAACACTTCACCGAAGCAACCAGCCCACAACCAGATCAACTCAACCGTTGTCTAAAATGATTTCTGTGTTGTTATCATTTCTCGTCTTGTCGAATGTGGCATCTATACCAACATCAGCCGCAGGTTATTGTTTTTAATTGAGTTATTTAATCATTTAATTATATCAGTTAATTAAGTGGTAAACTAATTATTAAAAGTGGCTCAACCTAAGTAAACATGATAAATAAATGAACGATGAATTTTAATGATACAAAAACAATTACATAACAATTCAAAATAGCAATTATTATTAATTATAAATAAAATTATGGTAAACTGTAAAGTTAATTATTAATTATATTAATCAAAATAATAATAATCAATGGTAATAAATTATAATAACAATTTGACAATTTGCCGATAGAGTTGAAAAAAATATGCTTCTACCCTAATTGGGGCCAATACAAGCCGGGAAGAGGGGCTTTCCTCCCTGAAAATATAGACCCAAACCTCTGTACCCACGTAGTTTATGCCTTTGCGAAGTTGCTGGACAATCAGCTGGCCCCCATTGAGTGGAATGATGAATCAACCAGCTGGTCTAAAGGGATGTGAGTTTAATTGGGGCGTAAAATTTTGGGTGTGCTATTTTGGGTGTAGTGTTTTGGGTGTAGTTTTCTTGGTGTAGTTTTCTGGGTGGTTTAATTTTGAAATTTAGCTTGATGATATTTTGGTTTTCTGTATGTTACGGGTTGTTGCTATGCTATGTCATATCATTTAGTATTTATTTGAATTTTTCAATTTATTAATTTTTTGTTCATAAATTTAGCGACTCAATAAAAAAAATAACTTTCCACTTCGTCCATCGAACTAAGGTACGAGAGAGTGACAGATCTTAAGAAGATGAAACCCTCGTTGAAAGTACTGCTGGCTGTTGGCGGCTGGAACGCTGGCACCACCGAGATGACCAAAATGTTGTCTACGCAGCAGAACAGGAAACAGTTCATTGACCAGTCCATCCGCTACCTACGAAAGTGGAGATTCGACGGGCTGAATTTAAATTTTGAGAGTCCTGGAGTTGGGAGTAGCCCGCCTGAAGATAAACAGAGAATGACCCTTTTGATCCAGGTTGATGTGTACTGTATGTGTGTGTGTGTGTGCGTGTGCGTGTGCGTGTGTGTATGTGGTGCGTGTGCGTTGTTTTGTGTGCGTGTGTGTTGTTGATAGCATACTAAAAATTAATTAATTAAGAAAAAATTCTATCTTTTAATGAAGATCGATACTGCAAAGAATATAAATTACACTAACTAAATGCTGTGTTTATGTGCAATGTATCAGCATACTGCATACATTGAGATATGTTAATGTCTATAAACACTTGAAAATTAGATGCATATTATTAAAAACAAGATAATAAAACAAACAAAAATAATTATAATAATAAAAATAATAATAAAACAGGAAACACGTGAAGCCTACATTCGGGAAAGCCAAACGACCGGAAATCCCGTCCTTCTCCTCTCTATTTGTATCCCGGCCGATAAACACCGGATAGACCGCGGATACGAACTTGATATCATCCAAAAGTATTGCTATTGAGTTTTTTTCCATTTTCGATTATGTAGCTCTGACAAATGCAAAACTACTTACATATCACTGCACGATAGTTAAACTTTCTTACCACAAAAGCTGTAACATCAACACACACCACACGACAAACACACACCACACACGCACCACACATAACCACCTCGCACGACAAATAGCAAAATAATTTCATTGGCCAATCAAAACCAGGGATTTAGACTTCATAGGGCTTATGACCTACGACTATCATGGCTCGTGGGACCCAGTGACGGGTCATAATTCCCCCCTGTTTTCAAAGGGTGAAAAAAATTTGGTAACGTTTCTTAATGTATCATAATTTATTATATTATTATTGTTATTATTATTTACTTTTATTATTATTGTTGTAGTTGTGGTTATTATTATTATTATAAGTAGTAGTGTTAATATTTTTCTATTTTCAAGTTGGCAGAAAAAAACAATTTTTTTCATTCAACCGTTTGGGTTATAATAAAAATAAATGTCGATAATATTATATAATAATAATTATAATAATTACAATAATAATAATAATTACAATAATAATAATAATTACAATAATAATAATAATTATTATTATAATAGTAATTTTCATCATTATTATTAAAAACCAAAAAATAATAACAACAACAATACACTAACCAATTAGAATTGGACCAGCAGCTACGTGCAAGCGTTGGGTGTCGGGGCGGCAAAAATAATTGTGGGCTTCCCATTCTACGGTAGATGTTTCACGTTGGTAGACCCTAGCAACAACGGCATTGGGGCACCTGCCTCTGGTCCGTGCCCCGCTGGGCTCTACACCCAAACACCTGGTGTCTTGACTTACTACGAAGTACAACCTTGTTAATGTTATCAAAATGTTTCGTGGTTATTTGAATGAAAGGATTATGAATGGTTTAAAATGTCTTTTAACGGTCGGCATCTCTTTGAACTCATTCCTACTATTACTGCAATTGCCCTTAATTTATTTTAAAAAATATAAAAATTATAACGAATAATTTATAAGAATTTAAAAAGTTGTTTCACTATAAAGATATGTAGCGTGTATCTGAACCATCCCGACACGATTGTGAAATGGTCGGAAGAACAACAAGTGACCTATTTAGTCAGTGGGGATGTTTGGATCGGCTATGACGACCAGAAGGGCATTGCCAGAAAGGTGAATAATTTTATATCGATATGAACTTTGAGGAGTTGGTTCAGTGGGGGCCAAAATTAAGAGTGGTCTTGTCGGATTGAAAATCCTAGCGACTAAAAAGACTAATAAATAAAACACCACGAAACAAGGAGTTGATTTGTGCGGGCTTTATAAGAAACTGCGATAACTTTTCAGATAGGTATTCGGGCTGCTGATGAGTCCCCGGTAGGGACGAGACACGTGTCCAGCCTATCCAAACGAATACTATTCTTTTCTTCTCCCGCTCTTCTGGTTCGGTGTTCTCATCATCAAACGCAACTGCAACAAATTGGTGATCCTTGTAAAAGGGGGAAGACCTTCACAAAAATGCATCCTTATATATTTAAAGCCAGCCCTGAGTGTAGCTGCAAATTTTCTTTCTTACGAAACAAAACAGTATCATTTTCATTATTTTATTAATTTATTTATTATTAAATAAAACCATAATGTAATGATAAAATATTTCACTTTTTTGATTTTATCAGCTGGAATATACAAATTCGAAAAAGTACGGCGGGTGGATGGCTTGGGATCTTTCGTTTGATGATTTCAATGGAAACTTCTGCGGTTCTTTTGCAAAATATCCGCTGCTGAAAGCGTTGAATGCTTAAGTCCAGGTTTTATTCCCTTGTTAATTATTTGTTCTTATGTACGTGCAACAACTTGGTAATTAATTGAAGCTCTATAAAAATGTTCATGACAATATTATTTTTTTCTTGCTCCTAACCATCATTTTAAAAATTATTGTATTTTTATTTAAAATGGTGAATTTTTTTTTTGATAAATTCGTTTGTAGATTGAACTGAACAAAAAGGGTTAGGCATTTTCTGCTGAAATTTGTTTGCTGGCTTGATAATTATTATTTGAAAATGGGACAAATTATGTTTTTTTATAACTTCATTACTGAGTAATTAATTTCAAAAACTGCAAAGTTAAATTATCAATTTTCAAGTAGATCATAAAAATTTTAAACGAATTTCAATAACAAAAATTGAATTGAAACAAGGTTCATAGTTGTTTTATCTTCTGAAAATTCAACTAAAACTCAAAATAACTTTTAATAAAGTCTTAAACACTCCACTAAACACTCCATAGTTTGTAATCTAGCAAAACAAAACATTCTCGAATATTGTCAAATCAAATAATTTACAAAATTATAACATTATTATTATTACTCTTAAAAGGATTTTTCTCGCCTTAGATGCCCGTGTAGAAGGCGCTATATGAATGAAATGTTATTATTATTACTATTATCTTCATCATAATTTTTTTGTTTTTATGGTAAATGCGTTAAAATTTGTAAAGAATAAGACCAATTCATTGACCAATTCATTGATCAATTCATTCACCACATTTATCAATTCATTGACCAATTCATGCACCAATTCATTGACCAATTCATTGACCAATTCATGCACCAATTCATTGACCAATTTATTGACTTCTAAATGGAAACGTTCTAGACTCATCTAATTTTCGAACTCCTCAAAAGTTGAATGTAAGCGATGGTCAGCATTCCAACGCTGATGACAGCCATGGCCATTTCATTTTGCCAGAGGTCCCAGGCCGTTTCGTACCTGATGCCTTGTGATGCCAAGTACTCCTCCCCCGCGTCAGAAATTCTGTTTCAAATATCATCATTCCAGAATCGTTTTATTTATTTTATTTTTAATTTTCTGAAAAAAAAAATGAAATTATTTTTCAAGAAGAAATGTGAAAGCTTAATGTAAGGAAACTATACAATCAAATTAGCGGACTTTTGTGGCACGAAGGGGCAATATATAAATATCGCAGCCAGGAGCACATAATGATGGGTGGAGTATGCCCTAAACCCTACCTCACTGACGAGAATTCATAAAAATAGATTTATTGTGACAATTTATTCAAATATTGATTAAAATAATATCAATACATACGCTGATCCGTTCTTCTGATAGAGGACCAAATCTTTCAATTCGTTTATTGACAAGGCCTAAAAAGTAAAATGTATGATTGAAGTGATTTCCTCTTTGATTTTATAATTAGTATGGATTTTTTGCAAAGTTTACGTGAATAAACGACAAGTTTTCAACAATTTACGAACTCATTTGATATTTCCAGCTAAACAACTAACGTTTAATGAGTATCTGACGATGCTAAGGTACTGCATCCAGCTTAACCAGTTGGGCATTGTCGTAACATTTGCGAGGAACCCGCCAAAAACCTTTTAGAAATAATTTTGAAACAAATTTTATATCAATTTTCATATAAAATTTTCAAAGATGACACTGTCGCCAGTTAAAAAAGTTAAGTGCTCGCGTCCAAGCTAAAGAAACAACACCTAGAAAAACAAATAATCATAAAAATTTTCAAATTTTCATCCAAACTTTCCACCCAACTTACTTGCATGAAGACGAAGATGAAAGTTGTAGTAAGGTGGGCGACTTGGAAGGTCTTTGTTGAGGAACTGACCGCAAAGCCGATGGTGGATGCTGACGTGGTGGTGAGGCAGTAGGAGAGGTAGAAGATGAAGAATTTCGCAACATCCATTTGGAAACCTGAAATTTTAAGAATTTACTTCAACACGAAACGTTTTTAAACATTTATTTGACTAGTTAAATTTGAAAAATTTTAGGACGTTGCTAGGATTTTTAAAGTGGGACTTGATCGATTCTAAAACATCATTTCTATAGGCTACTAATGGATGTAACTAATCACGTTTGAAAATTTCTGAATAGATGTTCTTTAACTAGAGTTAGAATTAGTTAAAATTATAAGATAAAAGTGAAAATATGAGAATTTTTTTGTGAAATAAAATGAACTTTCCTAAAAAGTACGTCTCAGTTACTTACCGACCATGAAATAGGCAATGACACAGAAACAAGTTAGAGGTATGATTCTCATTGGGAAGAGGTCACAGAGGTACTTCGCGAAAAAATAGGCGGACACTCTGTAGAAACCGCCAGAACATTCGTGTCTGATTTTGGGGTTTTGACTTTTGATTATTTTGCCGAAAATTTAATTCAAAGTTTGAATCTATGACTTCATTTTACATCAACAATTAAGTCGTTTGGTTTGATATTTGCTATTATTTCTATTATTTTTATAATTTTATTTTCATATCTTGGGAGTTTTGGATGTTTAATTTTTAGAATGGACGTTATAAAAATTTAAATTGATCGGTTAATTGATATTTTTTCACGTAGAAATAAAACCAACTAACAGGAAAATTCTCCTTTCTTTGATGAATAACTCGATGCTCGATAAGTTGCCAAAGACTTGATTCATAATGATGAAGAAGAAAGCTCCCGTCCTGATAAAATAAATACAAAAAGAATTTATTTATTTATTCATTTAACTTATTTTATTCGTTTAGTAAAATATTTTAGTAAAATATTTCTTGGAGAAACTTTCATCATTATGATATCTTTGCAAATAACTGACTAATGGGGGGTTGGATCACGCGATATAACATGCCGGCTGTTGCCGATACCAATTTTGAATGCAAGAAGATCACCGTCCATTATACACAAAATGTAAACGTGTTGAATGTTTTTTGTCGATGATTTTTTTTAAAGTACAAAAGAAAAATTGTGATAAAATTGTTTTTCTATGAAAAAAATTGTCTTTTATAAAATCAGGCAAAAACCTGTTCTGTATAGCTCCTCTGATGTCAGTTCCTAACTTGAAAAACAACAACCCGACGAATAGGCCAAAGAAGAACATGATTGTTATCTGAAGAAATTATTTAGATTTTATTTTATCTTTTTTCTCCAATAAATAACAAATTGACATTATCTTTTGACTGAATTATCAAAAAATAGCAAATTTAAGTGTCGTATTAAAATGTTGAATGCTAACTTGAAGCATGAGTGCAGATGGGTTTCTAATGATGTTCTTGATAGCTCGCAAGGAAACGTAATATAACTAAAGTGATAAATACGTATTAATAGTCAATTTTAAAATAATGAATGATGAAATGGTTAAGACGCTTAATTCGGCTTTTTCGGCGTCCAGTTTTGAATGCAGAAGATCCCCGCATGTTACGAGCAAAGTTTGAGAATGTATTAAGAGAAGGATAAAATAAAATAAAAACGTTGATATCAAAGATTATTTTTAGTAATTTAGAATTTTTTCTGTTCAATTCAACGAAATAAATATTAGAAAAATTGATAGAAAAGAATTAGGGGGAATAAAATGATAACCTGAGTAACGAAAGACGTGGCATATAACACAACGGGGTACTTCATTTTGTCGCCACTGGCTCGTTTCGTAATGTACATTTGGTGTATGGCGTTCGCTTCTTTATAAACTCTTGGTTCATTTTTGCGATAAAATATTAATGTTATTTCTATATTACTAATATTCTCATTAATTTCTAATTTAATTTTTTTTTTCAGTAATACCAACACACACACGCACGCGCACACACACACACATACACACACACACAGTCTATGTGAAATTAAAGAAAAACGTTTTACTTGTCAGCCAATGAGCTTTTTGAAAATTCTTCCGCCAGAGTAAATATGAGAGATTTTCCTGGGACCGTGACATGATGATCGGTGTCAGGTCCTTCTTTCTTATCTGAGCTTTCTGAGAAAAAAATGTATTCATCGATTTTTAATACTTCAAATACGTACGGATATTATTCATAAATACATTTATAATCATATCAATTTTAATGTTATTATTTAAATGACTATCTAAGGGACTGGATTTAGAGGTGTGTAGAAATTCTAAGGGCACTGATAGAGTCGAGATCCTAAATTCGGCAACTTTTTTTGTGAAGGCATGCGGTAGGTTGAGATCTCTTTGAATGTGATTTCGGTCACTGGCGCAGCTTGAATTAGTAAATGTAATTATGAAATCTGCTGAAGACCCTTTACTATGGAAACCCTTTTTTGTGGGAACTTATTTGTAGGGTTTTCGGGACTGCCCTGCTGTAAATCCGACTTAATTGTGTATTTGAAAATAAATTTTTAATTACTGAATAGGGCTTTGACGGCTGTTGAGTCTCCGTTTGTTACGTCGAGAAAAAAATCGGAAGGGTTTTCGTGCTCCTCGCATTCGTAACCTGGAATTTGGTGATTTTTTTTATTTATCAAATAATTAAGTTAAAAATTTTATTTTAGAACGTTCAAGCTCGAGTTAGTGAATTTAGTTCCTATAAAAGATTAAACGCAAAAGTTTTAGTAGAATATTTTTAAATAATAATTTTTGAAAATAGAATAAAATAAAATCAAAAAAGAGAACAGAGCAGAATGGAATGGAATGGAAAAATAATTTACATAAACACAGCGGCCAACCAACCTACCGATGGAGTTAAAATACTGAAGAGTCTCAGATGCGGGTCCGTGGTAGATGGTCCTACCAGCTCCCAACAACAGCATGCCATCAAACAGTTTGAAGATGTTGTATCGAGGCTGATGGATCGAGAAGATTATCGTCCGACCGTTCTTTGATATCCTTGAAAAAATATCAAAATAATTCCATTTCGAGCTTTAAACGTCGAGAAAATTAATAAATAAAAAAGGATATTTTACTTCTATTTTATTCTTAATAAAATTGAAAAATTAATACACGAATATTATATTTAAAATTGTATTATCTGTTGTTGAAATTATTTTTGTACCATACTACCATAATTTATTACATTTCAAAAATCTACTCACGGTAAGATGCTTTTGAATGTGAATTGCTTAATCGAGCGTCACGAATTGAAATATAAAATTAACTACACTTACATGTGTGGCACATGTTTTCTACGTCTACAGCTACAAAATTTGTATGACTGATGCTAAAATACCTCACCATACGACGAACACTTTTACTAATATTAATTTGATCTAATTGATATTATCTCAAATTGAATTTAAAAATTAATCTTTATCAATGTTGTGATTCATTCATGCTTTTGTTTTTATATACGATTTTAATTTGCCTAATTTTAATTTGGTTCATAGCGACCAGTTAGAGTTTCTGGATCTACCAGCTTTAGCTAAATAATACTTTTATATGTTAATCTTGACTCGATTTAACTGATTTTATTTAAAAAATCATTTTCCACTTGACTAACACATTCAGTAAGGACATAACAGCAAAGGCAGTACTCGAATCGAGGCCAGTTGTGGGTTCATCTAGGAAGAGAACCTTAGGAGAGATGACCAACTCCATGCCTATGTTCGTTCTCTTCCTCTCACCTCCCGATACACCTCTTATTAAATCAGTTCCTACCTGAAAACATTTTTGGCAATATTTCATTTTTTAAGGAATAAAAAATATTTAATAATAATTGGCTACTTCATTGAATTTATAGAAATGCAAAAATTTTTAAAAACCCTGGAATCGGCGCACTGAGTCAGCCCAAGCTCGTAAATAGCGTTATCAACCTTTCTTATCTTCTCTTCTTTAGAGATTGATTTCGGCAGTCTCAAATTTGCTGAGAACATAAAGTTCTCTCGGACCGTCAGCGTTCCCATTACAATATCATCCTTTCATATTTAGGAAAATTAAAAATGAAATTATTTTTATAATTTAAATATTATATCAAAATGGTTTTTCAAGGCTTTTGGCAAAAAATTTTTGATGTATCAAATGTGATTTTGTTTTCGTTGAAGATGAATTTTTTTCAGAAAATCACAAACCTCCGCTTCCTTGTTAGCGTTTTAAAATATTTGAAACAAAATATTTTACAAAAATCATTATTATTTATATATTATATTAAACTAGAATAGAATTTCTGGTTTTAAATTAAGAAAAAATTGAAAAAATTATCACAAAGAGACTTGTTCTTCGAGTGATTCATTCCTAAAAAAAAAAGGAAAAAAAACCTGTGCCACAAATCCGGCCATGCATCTAAAATTTGACGGCTGTTTCATTCCGTCGACCAACACGCATCCATCTAACTTTTGCACGTCAGCTCTTCCAGCCAAAATGTTTAGCAACCTTTTCGGTGTTAAATTTTATTTTAAATAATTTAAAAAAAATAATAAAAAATATTAATCGTGATTATAACGTAAACCCCCATACAAACAAACAGGCGCGCGCTCACACACACACTTACATACAGACACACACTCAATATTTATTTATTAAGTTGCCTATTTATTGATTTATAACAAAAATAATTTTTAAATATATTTAATTTAATATTAACTGTTAATGTTATTCACCACGTTAAAGTTAAAGACTCACGTAGTTTTTCCGCAGCCGGTCGGCCCCATGATTGCGTTCATGCCAGGCTTGAAAAGACCTCTGGAGACATTGAAAATTTTCCAAAGTGCCGATGATATGAAGATTATAAGGAAATAATAACATATTTGGGCTAGTTGTAATTTGAAAAGCAGATTAAAAACTGTAGAATAAGCAAGGTTGAAAACTATTTTTTTAAATTATTATTTAATGTTTAAAATGATAATTAATAAGATAAAACGTTGATGAAACGAAAGTTATAAGGAATTAATCATATATTTGCGATAGTTGTGAGTTAAAAATCAGATTAAAAACCGTAAAATAAGCAAGGCACACGCCCATATATTTGAGTTGGAATGAATTTACAAAACTAACGTTAACCCATGTAAAATCTCTTTCTTCTCTGCCTTCTTGCAAAACGAATTTTTGACTGTGATTGTGTATTTGATGTCGTGGAAACTCAACTGGGAACCAAGGCTATTGGGGGCAGGTCGGGAAAGTCCGCCAACATTTTTGAGGGGTGGTTCGGGGCGGCCATTGTTGATGAGGGCGTTGTTTGGGGTTTGGGAAAAACTGTCGTAGTTAGCTTGCTCCTGGCTGGAATCAACGGAAATAGAGTTTTGCGTTGTCAGTGAGTTTGTTGAAATTATATTAATTGAGTAGCTATTTTTTGGCATACTGATGGCATGCAGTCAGAGAAAAAACAATTTAAAATTATTCTTTGATTAAATTTAAAAAAATACTTTTATCAAAGATTGTAAAATACGTGACGCAATGAATGATATTCAAGAAGGTTTATATAGTGCATTTGTGAGGTTCTCTACAGATAAGTTCAAAGATCGTGTTTTTAATTGAAGTTTAATGGCTTTATAGAGTGAGTTAGACGACTGGGATGATTTGTATTGTATGTGCGTGTGTGTGTTTGTGTCTGTGTGCGTGTGTGTATGTGTGCGTGTGTGGCGCGTGTGTACTTGGGCCAGGTATAGTTATGTACTGTTAGTATAAACATTTACGTCTGATCGAAATATTGACACATATACACATACGTTCGTGTCATTGCTGCATGTAATATTGTCTTATAGTAGCAAAAAATAGTCTTCAAGTATATTATTATGAATTTTTATGTTTAATTATTAAAATTTACTCATAAATAATCGACTAAAATATATACATGACTTGACTGAAATATAGACATTGTATGCGACCAAATGTAAAGTTTATGAAATTTAATTAAGATCTTTACGTAATTTTTTTCTTGACAGCAATATTCGATTGTTTAACGGTTGTCGCCTTAAATTTACTGATGTTGAAATGTTCCAAATGAGTACAGTGAATTTTCCTGAATCCTAGTATATTCATAATATACCACTACTACGCTACTACTACTACTTCTGATACAGCTGCTGCTACTACTTTTGCAGCTGCTGCTGCTGCTGCTACTTCTATTACTGCTGCTTCTGTATGTACTGCTGCTACTATTACCACTACAACAACTACTACTTAGAATGATAATAATAATAATAATAATAATAATAATAATGACGACGATATCAATTGTTTTTACTTGGTAGTTTAACTTTCGTTTTGAAATGACTTGGTAAATATTTTTCATTTAAGATCTGAAGGGGCTGAATTTTTAGACGATCCGTGCGCCGGCTTATAAATGATAAAAATAAAGATAAATAGGCGAATTAAATAAGTAAAATTTTGGTTTTTATACAAAAACAAAAAATGAATAAACAAAAAAATAATTTTATTGCTCTAAGAAAGTTCATAGAACGTGCTCATTAATATTCATTCGGTGCACTTGAAACAAAGTGGAAATAAAAAAAAGTTAAAGCATAAAAATCTGGTGACTCTTATATAACCGACAGGAAATAAATTAATGAATGGGTAAACAAGTCACTAAACAAACAAACAAACAAACAAACAAACAAACAAACAAACAAACAAACATACTAACATACATACAAACAATCTAACTAAACAAACAAACTAACGTATCAACAATCTAACAAACATACAAACAAACCATCAATCAATCAACCAACCAATCAACCAACCAACCAACCGAACAACCAACCATCCAACCAACCAATCAATCAACCAACCAATCAAACTAACTAACAATCAATCAATCAATCAATCAATCAATCAATCAATCAATCAATCAATCAATCAATCAATCAATCAATCAATCAATCAATCAATCAATCAATCAATCAATCAATCAATCAATCAATCAATCAATCAATCAATCAATCAATCAATCAATCAATCAATCAATCAATCAATCAATCAATCAATCAATCAATCAATCAATCAATCAATCAATCAATCAATCAATCAATCAATCAATCAATCAATCAATCAATCAATCAATCAACAATCAATCAATCAATCAATCAATCAATCAATCAATCAATCAATCAATCAATCAATCAATCAATCAATCAATCAATCAATCAATCAATCAATCAATCAATCAATCAATCAATCAATCAATCAATCAATCAATCAATCAATCAATCAATCAATCAATCAATCAATCAATCAATCAATCAATCAATCAATCAATCAATCAATCAATCAATCAATCAATCAATCAATCAACCAGCCAACCAATCAATCAATCAATCAATCAATCAATCAATCAATCAATCAACCAGCCAACCAACCAACCAACCAACCAACCAAACAACCAACCAACCAACCAAACAAACAAACACTGCGCATTTGATTAATAGCGAACCCTTTCATAAAATTGAATTACTCAATAAACTACTTCAAATCTGAAAATTTTAATTTACAAAAATGTTAAACTCGACAACTTAGCGACTGAAGTTAAACGACAGCACCCGACTTTTTATGAGTTGCGACAAGTAAAATAGTACGAAATAGTTGCACTAAGATAAAATATTTATATATATATTATAGTTTGTCATTTTATTAATTATAACTATTTCATAATTTTGTAACGTTTCATAAGATGTAACAATAAAGTAGTGCGTTATGTAGCTGTACATTACACTAAAATTATATGAAATAAAGTTCATGGCACATTTGTGTGTAATTAAATTATATGCTCGTATAATGAAGCTATTCAAAAGTAATATACAGTAAAAATCGGTTAATTAGACCGGTGATTTGATGGTCAAGCAGTTGACTGCTCAATCGAAGCCATCAGGTTGGTTGGTTGGTTGGTTAGTTGGTTGGTTGGTTAGTTGGTTGGTTGGTTAGTTGGTTGGTTGGTTGGTTGGTTGGTTAGTTGGTTGGTTAATTGGTTGGTTGGTTGGTTGGTTGGTTGGATGGTTGGTTGGTTGGTTGGTTGTTTGGTTGGTTAATTGGTTGGTTGGTTAGTTGTTTGATTGGTTGTTTGATTGTTTGTTTGTATGTTTTGTTAGATTGTTTGTTTGTTGTATGTTTGTTTGTTTGTTTGTTTGTTTAGTTAGTTATTTACAAATTTAGTCGTTTGTTTACCTATTCGAATGGCCTAAGTTGCGTGTGATAGTACATACAAAATAGTACCGCATGCGCTATTTGAAATAACCAAATAGAATTTAAAAGATTTAAGAGTTAGAAAATAATGATATGATCATGTGAATCTGAAACAATGTAACGAATGAATGAAAAAATACCAAATGACTCCACAATGAAATAGGTCCTACTAACCATCCATGCGTACGATCAACACAAAAGTGCATGATATCATATGCCTAATATTCGTTTAAAGAAATAGTTACTGATATATATTTATTGATATATTTCTATATTTATTGATATATATCTATATATTGATATAAAACATTTTTCACAAATGAAATCTAAAAGCTCAGAACTTGAAATTAGTCGAGAAACTATATCGACAGATTCAGAAACTTGAAAAATTAGCTAAAAATCTTACCACCACCGTTGTACCCTATCACAAGAACCAACATTACTATGTTGAAAATGATTTTGGTTTTCAAGATTGCAATGAAGAAATATTAGCTTTCAAACAAATTGTAGTGACACTAGCAAATAAAATCATCATAATAATATTTTATCTTATATATATGTAATAATATTATATCTTAATGTTCTTATAAACGGTAGCCAAACTAAACACTATGCTTTTCAAATTTTAAACCAAAGGCAAAACTAAATATGTCATAATCATATCAAATTTTGATAACGAGACAAAAAACGAGTTATTTAGAAAAATTTTTTATAAATCATAAATAATTCTGTGCGTGTAATGAGACAAGGTATGAAAAAATTTGAATCCAACTTACCTTCCTAGTTTACTCATGGCTCTAAACTTTACGCTACAACCCTGTCAGCAATAAAATCTGGCAGTAAATTCATCAATTTCTCTTGTTTCTAAATTTCAAATGAAAATTTGTTTAGTCGGAACATATGCTGCCATTACGACTTCTACCATACTCTCTTTCTATGACATTTACCATATAGCATGTTCATTTAATGTTAATGATTCATGTAGAGAGAGGAGAGAGAGAGAGAGAGAGAGAGAGAGAGAGAGAGAGAGAGAGGGAGAGAGGCAGGGAGAGAGAAAGACATTGAGAAACACAGAAAGAGACAGAAAAAAGAGAGAAACAGAGAGGAAATGAAAAAATTGTTTATTGATAAAATATGAAATTGAGAATATAAGGTGTGTGAATGTGAAAGTATGTCTACATACACACACCATACAATCTCTCTCTCTCTCTCACACACACACACACCCCACAATCTCTCTCTCACACACATACACACTAAATTTTTCCATAAATCTGAAAATTATTAGAAAAATATTTTTTTCTGGTAAAATAAACAGAGTCCGATAAATTGATTTACGGATGAGAATCATTTGTTTCGTCATTTCATTCCAAAAAAAATTAAATTAATAAAAAAACAATAATTTTCATAAATTAATTTAAATTTTTTCCATAAACTTTAGCGACATATGTTATATTGGTGAGAGTGACATGCTATCGAAAATGTTGACGCTTCGAAACTTTTTTGCGTTAAATTCGTGTAGTTAATGTGTTGTGTGTGTGTTTGTGTGTGTGTGTATTCTTTCTTCTTCTTTACTATGTTTGCATTTACATTAAGAAATAGTTTACCGTATTTACATTTACAGTTTTACAGTCTGGAATAATCACAAATTTTGATGAGTTTATATTACACATTCAACCAGCCAACCAGCAATCATTTCCGTTTGTATACCGTGTTAGGTTGTTTGTTTTAGTAATTCTCTCTTTGAGGTTCTCCAGTAATACATGTTAACGACAAACGCAGAGTAGTGCATAGAATACTTGTAAATGTGAATAAGAAACATTCTCTAGTCATAATATTTATTTGTTTAACCACCAAATTGAAAAATTAAACTATATTCATGAATGAAATTATCAAGGCAATTAAAACTAAAAAAATTAATTACAATTTAAAACTCAGATCAGATAAAAAGGTCCAAAAAGTCATGATAAGTGACGTTATTTAATTCTCGAGTTCCTAGCCAGTTGAATATAACCGACAAATACCATACCGACACCGATTACGACCATTGCCATAATATTTTGCCAAAAATCCCACACAGTTTTGTACGCTATGCCTTGCGCTTCTAAGTAGTGCCTTCCTTCACCTATTAACCTGTGTTGTAGGTGTTTATGGCTGTTAAACTATAATTTTAGTTATAATTATTTTTATTATTAATGTATCATTATAATTGTTTTATATTTTGAAAAGAGGTTTGTTGGTTAAAATTCAAAAGTGAAGACAACTTACTCCGTTCCGTTCCTGTACAAAACCAAATCTTTCATTTCGTTAATAGACAACGCCTAGCAAAACCAAATTTATAATATTTGAAGTCTACGCAAAAACACAAACGCACACACGTACGCACATACGCACGCATACACACAACAAATGAATCCCCACTTTGAGTGTGTATCTGATCAAACTCAGGTACTGCAACCAGCTCAGCCATTCTGACATCGTCGTCAGATTTAACAGGAAACCTCCAAAGACCTATCATTTAGTTATCAATTTTCATAGATTATTAACAATTTATTAATAGAAAACTCAAAAATACTTATACAAACACACACACACACTCACACACTACACTTATATACACGCACACAAACAAACAAAACGCAGCACACACACAATATTTCCAAGTACATATACTCTCTCCTTACCTCCATACAAACAAAAATCGTGAGCAAACACAGGTGGGCTGATGAATATGATTCCAGCGATGAACTGACTGCGAAGCCGATTGTGGCTCCAGACGTCGTTGAAACGCCAAGGATTAAGAAGAATAGTAGAAATTTATAAATTTCTAGCTGAAATCCTTTTTGAAATTCAAAAAAAATTAATTGATTGATCGGTTGGTTGGCTGATTGATTGATTTAATTGATTGGTTGGTTGGTTTAGTTGGTTGGTCGGTTGGTCGGTTGGTTGGTTGGTTGGTTTGGTTGGTCGGTCGGTCGGTCGGTCGGTCAATCGATCGATCGATCGATCGATCGATTGATCGATTGATTGATTGATTATTGATTGCATACTTGATAAATAATAGTTACAATTAATAAGATTGCGATACTGTTTTTGGTTGAAAGATTTTTAATCACAAAACAATTATCGATTTTTCAGCCTAAATCAACAAAACAAATATAAAAAACATAATGAATGACACATTTCAAATATGAAATCCTCTAAATAGTTTGTAAATTTCGTAAGCTTCTAAGGCTAAAATAAAAGTGTTTAGAAAGTAATCAATTGAAATATTTATTTATAAAAATTAAATAAAATTTTCGTCAAACCTATCATGTAATAAACGGTGACACTAAAAAATATTAGCGGGACGATCCTCATTGGAACGAGATCGCAGAGGTACTTGGAGAAAAAGTAGGCAGAAATTCTGTAGAATCCACCGACGCTTTCATGTCTGAAGCAAATCATTTTGAGAAATATGAAAAATTAAAATGAATTAAATTATTAATTTAAATTATTATTAATATACATATTAATTTGAATTATTAAATGTAGCAGTTCTTTTTGCTACAAAGACGAATCAGAGGCCGTGGGTAGCCAAGAGGGGGCTTTAAGGTTGAAGCCCCCTCTACAAAAAATAATTTTGTTGGAATTATGATTGAACTTAACATTAACTCTATGTAAATAGTTTCAGTTTTTAACAACAGTTACATTTTTTAAATTTTCCCAAATAACACGGGTTGTTTGCAATGATTTTTTTCTCACAAATTCTAAGTCTACAAAAATTTTTGGCTAAGCTACTGGCCAGAAAGTAGCTGAGATAGCTTAATGATAAAAACTCTGGATATTGTGTCGCTGCGCCGTGACCAAGAAGGTCAAGCAAAGGTTAAAGTTCAAATTAACTTGATGTGTTAAATTAACTTGATGTGTTTGTAGTTTGAGATTTTTAAGGAAGATGTCGGAAGAAAGATAATCTAAAAAATAAAGAACCTACATAAAAATTTTTCTCTCCAATGCGAACAGTCCGACGCTGGACAAATTTGAAAATATTTGATTCAGAGTGATGAAAAACAACGCGCCCGTTCTGAAAATTTGAAAAAAATATTTAAAAATTTAAATATAAATAAATTAAATAATCCACTTTATAAATTATTATTATAAACAATAAAATTACTATTAGTATTCGGATCTATTTAAAGCACATTTAAATAAAAATAACTAATTACATACCTGTTCTGAATAGCTCCTTTAAAATTATGCCCCAGCTGGAAAAAAAGAATGCCAACAAACAGACCAAAAAAGAACATAATTGTAACCTATTTGGGAAAGAAAACTTTGATCATTCCACAAATTAATTTTATCATACGTCATTAAACTTCTCAAAAATATCAACAATACGAGTGAATCGTTGCATTGCTTCACGCACACGCACACACACACACACACACACACACACACACACACATTGCATGGGTGTGCGCGGATATGTTTGCTTTTGAATCCAGCCACACAGAGTTACTACAGCAGCATGACAGACACCCTGACCGCTACACTATCATTTTGCTTTCTAAAATGAATACTTTACATAAAAAAAGTACTAAATAAAATTTATTATTTAAAAAAATTGATGTCTATTCGTATTAAACTAACCTGTAGCAACATAGCTGAAGGGTTTCTTATGATGTTCTGGATTGTTCTTTGAGAAACGTAACGAAACTAACGATAACGTTTATCAACATTAGAAATGTTTTTGAATAATTAAAAAATATTTTATCTTTGAAAATATTTTTTTAAATATTTGTAACAGTTATGTACGTATGAAGTGGTAGATTCGCAAGAATAGTGCTTTAGATTGCGAAACAGAAACAACGTTGGAAATACATGGGCTTTTGAATTTTTTTGAAAATAGTTTGAAAAGAATCAGATACCTAAACCTAAACGCGAGTTTTTCGTTTGAACAAAATAGAAGAAGATCAGCAGCATTTGGCGACATGAAAGAGATTTATTCATCCTTAAGTATAAATAGTATAAGTATCAAGTACAGGCTACTCAAAATTGTACGTTCACATTCTCTACTGATTCGAGACATTATCTAATTAAATTTAATGAACCACATAGTAAATTTTTTTTAAATGTTAACCAATCAAATTGAGACCTGCGTCAGAAATGAAGTTGCGTACAAGATGTCTGGATGTTTCATTCTAGAGCCGTTCGTTTTTCTCGAGTAGTAAGATTCGTATACCTTGCTCGCCTCTTGTTTCATTCTGTTTCAGTCAAAGTTGATAATATTTTTATAAATTTCAATTTAAAAAGGTAACCGAAATCCAAAAAAAAATTAGACAAAATTTAATTTAAAATTTTGTTTTACAATTTTATATGTACTTTTTTCCATATGGACTGTTGGAAAAGTTCTCGGCCAAAGTTAGAACTAGAGGCTTGCTTGGATCATTAGCGTTACTACTACCATTCTTATTGCCATTTCTATCTGGAAATTTTATCAACCAACATTTTAACGCTGATTATATGCGATTCAAAATCAAATAATTGAAAATATTTAGCCAGAATTTTTATTAAAACTATAAACAAATTGAAATTATGTGATTGAAAATTTACTGAATAAAGCTTGAATAGCAGTGGAATCGCCGTTGACGATATCAAGAAAGAAGTTGGAAGGATTTTCATGTTCGTCACACACGTAACCTTAAAAAATTACAGAGATAACAAAGTACTTCAAATCAAAAATTACTTTAAATTACAAAAATTTAACTACTCGTTCTGTAAAATTTTTGGAACATTTTTGAAAAGTACTTACAAGAGTTATTATTACAAATTAATAAGTTACTTGCTAAGTTATTAAGATAAAAATACTCATTTATTAAATTTTTTTGATTAATTTTCTAAATTTTTTTGAAAAATAATACCGGGTGTTGAACCTACCGATAGAATTGAAGTACTGGAGTGTTTTATTTGCGGGTCCATGGTAGATGGTCCTACCAGCTCCCAACAACAGTATGCCATCAAACAGTTTGAAGATTTTGTATCGGGGTTGGTGGATCGAGAAGATTATCGTTCGCCCATTCTTCGATATCCTTGCAAATGATTTCATGGAAAAAATTATTTTAAAAATGTTATTTTTTTAAATGAAAAACAGTTTAATCTTAATTTTCAATTTAGAAATGTATATTTTGTTTAAGAAATGCTAAAAAAATGTTTTTTGAGTGAAGGAAGTAAAGGTTTTCAGATCCACTTATCAGTAAGAACTGCAACAGTATTTAGATGCAACATGTGTGTAACCGCCTACAAGGTTAAGTTAAGTAAACAAATAAAAATACTTATTACACGAAATTTTTCAAAGATTTCTACAACACGAACTTATTTAGTAGAGACATAACAGCGAAGGCAGTACTCGAATCGAGGCCAGTTGTTGGCTCATCTAGGAAGAGAACCTTAGGAGAGATGACCAACTCCATGCCTATGTTCGTTCTCTTCCTCTCACCTCCCGATATGCCTCTTAACCAGTTAGCACCAATCTGTTTTTTGTAGGAATAGTTTCACAAAATTCATTTTAAAAATTCTTGAGAACAATGTCGTAGCAATAAACTGGACCGGATTTAAGGTAGAGTAGGTAGGGTTTTGGCCCGGTTCTCCCCAAAAAAGGCATCACCTTGAACGATTATACAACTTCGTAATTGAAATACACATTTTCTAGTTGTTAAAATTTACAATGCATGAAAAATTTTGAGTAAGAATGAAAAAAGAAAATAATTTTCATTGCTATTTGCAATGCGGATGCTGAAATATGAAAATAAATAAAATAGTTAGAGGTCTCCGTCTACATAAGATAAGAGTAGAGAGGAAGACGTTCACTTCACCAGGGCGTTCCCATTCCCACCTGTAAATCCGGCCCTAATGGTTAATATATCCATACCCTTGAATCGGCACACAAAGTCAGCCCCAACTCATAAATGATTTCGTCAACTTTTTTATTTTTCTCCTTGCCGCTGAAACTTTTTGGCAGTCTCAAATTAGCGGAGAACATCAGGTTTTCGCGGACAGTTAACGTACCAACCACTGTCCCGTCCTTGATTTTCAATTTTTAGAATACTTCAATGCTAAAATTAAATATTTTTATATGTTTTCATACCCTTAAGATAAAAGGATTTAATAAAATAATCGATATTTTAAATTTTAGTTAAGGTTGTAAGGATACATAAGGATATTCATAAGGATACAAACTTCGGAATCCTTGTAAGCGTTCAAAGTTGAAAATTAGCATGTCAATCGTTTTAATTTTATAATCAAAGTTAGATTAATTCAACTTTTAATACATTGGATCCACTATATTTCGATTGAATTATGATGCAACAACATCAACAACAAATTTCTCATCATTTGCTTGTTGTATAATATTAATTAGTCTACATAATCATATTTTTATCACATTTCTAGTATTCTAAACGTGAAATCCGACTACGATGATGGCATGGCAAGCAAGTTTCGGTTTTATATGACAAATTTTTTTCAAAATTACTTAAAAATGTTGCCAACAGACCTGCGCAACAAAGCCAGCCATGCACCTGAAATTGGATGGCTGGTTCATGCCGTCAACCAACACGCAGCCCTCTACACTCTCGCGATTAACTCTTCCGGCTAATATTTTTAAAAGCCTTGGAGGGAGAAAAAAACGGCAAATTAACTTTAAAATTGCTCTTTGTTTATTTAAATTTTGATTGAATTATTGTGAAAAAAGCGTAATAATGTTATAAATGAACCATTTATAGTTTCAAAATCATTTTTTTAGAATTTGCACGCACACACGCACACACACACACACGCACACACACATATCTTGTGAATGACAGACTGAAATCTCTTGAAACCTCACCTTAACCATCACTATTGATGAATTAAAATTACCAACGTTGATTTTCCAGATCCAGATGGTCCCATGATTGCATTCATACCTGGCTTGAAGATACCTCTGCAAATATTTAACTTAAGTTCATTTCCTCGCGATAAAAACTGTTACCAGTATATAAATTTTTATGTGGAATGAAACAAGACTCTCTTTTAATACTTTAGCAATCATATTATCGAAACATTAGAATACAAAACAATGTACAACAATTATAAATCTGTGAAATACGAAAACATTACAAATATTACTTCCAGACAAATAACAAACCAATAGATTCATTAGACTTATCAACTCGATTTTAATATTATTGTAAGAATAACGCAATAATGTTATAAATGGACCATTTATAGTTTCAAAATATTATCACTTTTTACCAAAGTTGAGCAATGTTTATTCACGTCCATCAAAATTTGTATCGAGCGACTAACGTGATTTCATAGAGAATTTGTTTAACTTCAGTCTTCTTGCATAGAGACTTCTCAATATTAACTTTGTAATTAATGTCGTGGAAGCTCAATTGGGAACCGGTATTAGTAATGTTCTGGTTGTTGGATGATTCGTTGTTGGATAAGACGGGATAGAGGACTCTTTTCTCACTGTTTTTGCAAGAAATATGTGGAAAATGTTATAAAGTTTAATGATATTTAGCTATAATTTGACGATTATTTGTCGATTATTTGTCGAATTTTGTCAGTTAATTGTCTTATTCAACGATAACTCGGCGATTTTGATCTATGATTCTTCCAAGTTGATCAATGGTTCGTTAGCTTTTTCGAGTGTTTAAAAATTTCGAGTTTACAATTATTAAAAAAGCTGTTATATTTATTTATTTGTAAAAAAAAATGTTAATATATAACATATATTTTAGTATGAATTATTGAAGTATTAATGAAGTATTGTTTATTAACGACGTTTGCCAAAATGTATGCGATATGATGTGATAGCTTCAAACTTTAATATCATCATTTTGACCAAATCATAATTATAAAGACTCTAGAACTATATATAATTGCAAAATTTTTGTTTTTAAAAATAAAAATACAAACATTTTTACGAATATTCAAAATTAAGATACTAATTTTCTCTTCAAAATACCTTTCAAATGTTTCATCCATGGCCAAACGATAAATTTGTAAAAAAAGCTTTTGGAAAATTCAACTTAAATATTCAATAATAATATAAATTAATTTAGTAGAACACTAAATGACGAATTTATTTCAAATAGACCAACTCATTCTTTACATCTAACAAAACGCACATATTCGCCTGACTCGACCAACATCCATCCATTCATTCAAACACGAACTTACACGCACATATGACAGGCAAGCAAACTACGCTTATGTACACCTACACACACAAATACACACACGCACGCACATAAATACACAAACAAACACATACACAAAGAAACACATACACAAAGAAACACATACACAAAGAAACACATACACATTAAAATTTTACACAGCTTAACGTCATAAGTCATGTAACAACAGATGAACGTAAAAGTTGAAAAAATTTATCGATTTTTTAATTTTATCAGCGAAAATTTATTGTCAAAATTTTGTCTGCGCTTCGATATCAACATGTCAGCTAAAAATATGAAGTAATAAACATGTATGTATTAATAAAAAAAAACTATGATGAAGCATCGCTAACTTAACAAACTTTTAAGTACATTGCTTATTCTTAAATACTCAATCTTTGTTAATTTCTTAGTTAGTTTGTTTGTTTCTCTGCTCGTCTATTCGTTTATTTGTTTGTTGGTTTATTTGATAACAAAAACCAATAAGTATAATGTTGGCCCGTAGAATGTGACCCGTGAAGATTAGCCCGTTTGAAGATTTTGAAAAATTTTGATGTCTTGTTTTATTAGAATGTATCTGATTCTAAGATGTTCTCAAACTTAATTTCAATTACTAGCAAAACACCAACGAATCGTTATATAGGACCACATTTATTCCATACCTCCAAAAATTTATTTTATTTTTAAAATTCTCAACAAAACGACAGTATGAAACTAACAAGAACAAAGAATGAAAATAATAAATAAACAAACAAACAAACAACCATGAACAATCTTATTTCAAATGTGAAGTTCTAACCAAATGAACGTAAGCTAACACTACCATGTGTATGGTTATTATGAAAATTATCATTTCGTTGTGCCAGAAATCCCATGCCGTTTCGTGCGAGATACCTTGTGAGATAAGATGCTTCCTGCCTATCTCTGTATACCTGAAATGAGATAACTTTGAGAGCAGTGAACACTTAATAAATTCATATGAAAATAGCTTTTATTGGAATGAACATACTAATTTTATATGGTTCTACTTGAATTATGATACTAAAAAAAAAATAAAAAAAAATGACCTAGCGCTATACAGATGTCGTTAGTGGCGTAACTGAGTTTCATTTATTTTAGTAAAACTATTTAAAAACAATAAATAAATTTATTTATTCTGTTTAATTAAGAAGTAAATCAAATAAATTCTGGTAGAAATATATCAACTTTGTGCTGTTTTTATACAGGACTAGATCTTTCAACTCGTTAATAAACAACGCCTGGTTAAGAAAATAAAAGTCATAGGATAAAATGACGTCATTCAAAAAAATTGATCAATAGTTTTCATAATTATTAGTTTGTTAATGTAGCATCAACAACACTAACACACGCACACACGCACAAACAAACAAACAAACACACACTACGTATTTCTTACTTAATACTGAAATACTTATTACATAAAAAATCAAGAGAGCAACAATAATTATACTGAACTGACATTCAATGAGTATCTTACGATACTGACATACTGCATCCAGCCTAGCCAGATTGGTACTGTGGTAAGATTCAGCAAAAAACCTCCAAAAACCTTTTAAAAATATTTTTTCATCATATTATGAATATATTTTTGACATAATTCTTTCAGAGGTATTGCAACAAACACACACACACACACACGGCGCGTTTGTGAATACACGTAAATCAACGCTCACAACATCAACATGCAATTATCGTAACCAATCTTATTTATAATAGTTGGTTAGTACGTTGGTCAGTTGATAAACCGAAGTATATAAAAGTTGGCAATGGTATTTTTGCTTTAGTAGTTAACACCAAGTAAATGATTGTAATTCTTAGTAAATAGGTAATTTTAGATGTAAGATGTACGTCAAAAATGAACAAGCAGACCTACATGAATATAGCAGTAAACGTTATTACGTTAAAAGAGATTGAGAATGTGTTGAAGGTCGAACTGACGGCAGATGCAATGGACGATGAGGCATTGGCTAGCAGGCACAGCGTTAAATAGAAACATAAGAATTTTTGCAGGTCAAGTTGAAAAGCTGATTTCGATAGTGAAATTATTAAATTTATTGATAGTTTAAAAGTAAAATTAGGAAACTAAACAATAGAAATCAGTTGTTATTATCATTATTATCATTTGAATGGTGCCAGGTAACCTAACCATCAAACAACATTATATAAATTATTTCTCAAATTTCCAAATTACAATAACAATAAATAATAATAGATATACATATAATATAATAATAATTAAATATCGGTCGTCAACATTTACGCAAAAAGACTTTACTTGAATTACAAAGTAAAGTTTTTACATTAATTACATTAACTTGAAATGATTGACAGACAAGTATTTTTTTTAAATTAATGATCACCAATTATAAAGTAGGTGATGAAGCTTAGAAACGTCAGTGGGATGATTCGCATCGGAATGAGATCACACATGTATTTTGAGACGAAGTACGATGAGACTCTGTAAAAACCGCCAGAACTTTCGTGTCTATGTTAGCATCAATTTATTATAATTATTAAATTATACTATTATTATTATTATTATTATTATTATACTATTACTAAATTTATTATTTTTAAAAGTTATATTTAACATTTAACGAGTTTATTATTTTTTTAAAAGTTGTGTTGAAATTCTATCCCTGGCCCTCTTCTATTTATACTCTTTACTTCTACCTAGTATTATTAATAATTTTTCTTTCACTAGTCAACTATATGCTGATGATTCTTATATTTATACTTCTTTTCCTCCGTCTAATCTCAATAGTGTTCTTCATAAGCTATCTCTATGTCTTTCTTCAATTATCGCTTAGTCTGACTATGTGTCTTAAACTTAATCCTTCAAAATTTGAATTTATTTGTTTTAATAAATCTAAACGCTCTATTACTATTCCTTCTATTATCTTACCTGATTCTAAAAACTCTTGATGTATGTCATAACTTTCGAAGTCTAGCTTTATCTTAGAATGAAAAAACTTTAGCCTTTTCTTGACAATCCTACTCTTCTCCTTCGTGTTACTTCCTTAGTCTTATCTAGGATTGATTATTGTAACTCGCTCTACTATGGTCTCCTAGTTCTACACTCTATCCTTTAAGTAAAGCTTTTAACTCTGCTGCTCGTCTAGTTGCTCGTGCCCCTTTCTTTTCTCATATATCTCCATATCTAGTTCTTTTGCACTGGCTACCTATTAGATATAGAATAATATAAAAATTTGCACATTAATGTATAAGTCTCAATCTAAATTATTTCCTAAGTAGTTATCAAATATATTAATTGAACCTAAACGCCCCGGTTTACGATCGTCTTCTTGTTCTCGCTTCTTCTTAACTCGTGTTAAACACTTTTTTGCTAAATCTGCATTTGCTTTTTCTGACCCTTTTCTCTGGAACTCTCTACATCCTTCTCTGACTACTTCTCCGTCACTTACGAAATTCAGAGCGGATCTCAAGACCCATCTGTTTGCATAATTCACTGAGGAGCGCTGTTGAACATCGCGGAAACAACGTTTTACAAACTAATTGATTGATTGATTGAAATTTGTTCGAGTGCTTGAGTCATTTGACATTTTGTGGATAGATGAATGAATGAATGAATGAGTGAATGAATGAATGAATGAATGAATGAATGAATGAATGAATGAATGAATGAATGAATGAATGAATGAATGAATGAATGAATGAATGAATGAATGAATGAATGAATGAATGAACAAACGAACGAACGAACGAATGAACGAACGAATGAACGAATGAATGAATGGATAGAGAAATTAATGAAAAAAAGGAATGAATTGATGAAGGAATGGATGGATCGATAAATGAATGGATGAATGAATGAATGGATAGATGGATAAATAAATTAATTAATTAATCAATTAATTAATAAAAGGTTTATTTACATGAAAATTTTCTTATCTTTGATAAATAGCTCAATGCTTGACAGGTTTCCGTATAATTGATTCATCACAATAAAAAAGAAGGCGCCCGTTCTGTTCAATTCAAATTTATTATACAACTCATAATATTTTATTCAATCAACCAATCAATACACCAATCACAACATCAGTCAATCTATTGGTATTTATATAGCGCAATATCTAAAGAAACATTATTTGCCTACTAGTGAAACATGATACTAGTTTCTTTTGGTTTCTGTAGAACTGTTAAATTTGATATATGTCATTCACCCATCAACTCATTCATTTGTTCGTTTGTACGTTCATTCATTCATTCATTCATTCATTCATTCATTCACTCACTCACTCATTCATTCATTCATTCATTCACAACCTGTTCTGAATGGCCCCGTTAAGATTGGTTCCTAATTGAAAGAACAGAAGAGATATGAACGTGGCCAGCACAATCATAACCGCGCTCTGTAGCAAAAAAATTTTCCTTTTTTACTAAAATAGGAACAACTGAAACAAATATTGTGATACAATAATCAAGGTAGGATGTAGTGGGAGTACATAGGGCCTGGGGACATCTCAGAATTTCAAAACGGGTGAATCTTTTTTGTTGAATTTGGCGATTACTTCTTTGACTTTTCAGCACTATCACAAAGTTTGTTCTACAAAATCCACTTGAATTCGATTTTTTAAAATGAGGTTTTTATTTTGGAAGACAGGAGACAATAAAGACTCGGCCCATCACTTAATTTGGTTGGCCTTCAAAGGTTGTTTTACAAAATTTCAATGAAAGAAATTGATAACTGATTAATGATTTTCTCTGCGACAGACCTGCAGCCATAAGGCACTTGGATTTCCAAGGATATTCTTCAAACTTTTTTCGGAAACGTAACGTACCTAAAAAATAATTAATTAAACCTCTCATATTAAAATCTATTTTTGGAATTTTTCTCACATCATTGAAAAAGACACCCAATCCAACTTTAGCAAACCTTCTCATGAAACCCCAAAGACTACAAAGACTAACGCACACACAAATAGCGTATGAATAAAGGTGCACGCATATACGTACACTGCTAGTGTACATATATATATGTATATATATATATATATATATATATATATATATATACATACCCCAATATTATTATTATATTATTATTATTACTATTATTATTTTTTGTTATTATTGTTCTTATTATTCGTTATTATTGTTATTGATAAGGTCATCAATAAGTGAACGGGCTCCTCTTTATTTTTCGGCCGGACATTATATTGAGACGATAGGTTTGATGATGATGATGATAGGGATGCACCGAAGTTCGGCCCCGAGGCCGAACTCTTTTTTTTCAAATCCGCTCGAATCCGGCCCCGGCCGGATTTAGGGCCGGATTTAAGCGTCTATCAACTTTTAAAAATGTTATAAATGGAAAAAAAAATTCTATTGAATTCAATTAATTTTATGTCAATAAGTTAAAGGCTAAGGCTAAGCTAAAGGCATACATGACACATAATAACAACATCACCAATTGTGAGGTAATCTGGACAATTTTCTTTATGCTATAACATGGGTTATGCATAAATTATAAGCTGATCTTTGTGTAAAAGAACTTGTGCACGTGTATATACTATATATTGATAATTGCATATGACGGATCATATAGCTACATAATATATATATATATATATATATATATATAGAAAGAGAGAGAGATACATAAGCACATAATTTAAGAAAGGTTAGGCTAGGTATACATGACACATAATTACAACATCAATAATTGTGCGGTGAGCTGGACAATTTTCTTTGTGCTTTAGCTTGGGTTATGCAAATATGCATAAATTATAAGCTGATCTTTGTGTACAGAATTTGGCGTATCACACAACTTATTCCTATATTTTAATTAAATAACTATTTGCTTGGTGTTATTTTTTGATGTTCAACATGTAGATAACCGTAAATGTGAGTATTTTTTCTAACTTATGTAAAATGGTAACTAAAATCCGGCTCCGGCCCCGGCCGGTTTTTGAATTTTAAATCCGGCCAAGTCCGGCCCCGGCCGGATTTGAAAAACCTGAATCCGGTGCATCCCTAGATGATGATGATGGTGGTGGTGATGGTGGTGGTGGGGATGGTGGTGGGGATGGTGATGATAATGATACTGATGGAAATGGTGATGATGGTGATGATGATGATGATGATTACGACAAACGATAATAACCAATAAAAATAAATGCGACAGATATATATTAGCAAACGAATGGTAACAGTTCAGTAATAATAATAATTAAATAAGTAATATAAACAAAATATATAAACAATAATATTAATAACAGATAATAAATAATTAATAATAAATCATGATAACTTAACCAACGTAACGCCGTGTAGAATGTCTTTCCTTTCGGCCTTTCGACAAAACGATTTCCTCATACTGACTGTATATTTAACACTGTGAAAACTCAACATGGGCCCTGATGTGTCAACTTCGGCAGCATGTTTGGCGAGTTTTTCACTATGGAATTCACTTTTATCCAGTGTATTTCCACAATCAGGTGTATTCTCATGATCCGGTGTATTCCCATGATCCGATGTATTCCCACAATCCTGTGTATTTTCGTGATCCGGTTTAATTCCATGATCAAGTTTATTAACACGATCTAGTGTGTTTCCGCGATCCAATACACTACCATAACTGTATGTATGTGTATGATATGTGGTTAGCTAATTGTGGTGTTTTATAGCGATTTTGAAAAGGATTATACGAAAGGATTTTGCGAAATGATTTTGAGGTGATTTTAAATAGCTGCTAGAAATTGTCTCAGGAATGACTTTCTATTAAAATTATTTTAAGTGATTTTAAAAGGGTGAAATATTAAAGAAAATTCGATCAATTTAAAATTGCAAAAGTATGTAATTGACTATATACAATATTAATAATGATATAATCTGTTAGTGAATAAAAATTTTTTGACAAAAACGATCTAACTTTGAATGTTTTTTCATGTTTTAATCGAACAGCGCATATGGGAAATAAAGCTTTGGCTATATATATTTTTCAAAATGTATGTATGTATGTATGTATGTATGTATGTGTATGTATGTATGTATGTATGTATGTATGTATGTATGTATGTATGTATGTATGTATGTATGTATGTATGTATGTATGTATGGGCATGTGATGCGTGTGTGTTTATGTATGTATTAAAATTTATTCTGTAAAAAAAAAAAGAAAAAAAATTAGCTTTACATTTGAGATGTCTGTCACTTGCTATGAGAGTAGTGGTTCAATATCAGATTGTTTATAAATTTATCTTGTTACTCGCAAATTATATTTCTTTTCTCTCTCTGTCTTTCTCTATCTTTCTTTCTTTTTCTTTCTCTCTCTCTTTCTTTCTCTCTCTCTCTTTTTCTGTTTTTCTCTCTCTATGTATGTGTACGTGTCGTCTTCTAGTTATTACATTATATATATTATTATATTATTTTACAAACATTTTTTCACTATCGCAGATATTGAATCGAGCTGCATCTGATGATGGTGATGATGAAAATATTGTTATTTAAATGAGATGAACTTGCAGATGTTTCGTTTTTTTAAACCGCCTCAATCATCTCTTGTTTAATTTATGGATTTTGAAATTTTCAAAACCGTTTTCGTTTATTTTATGTATATTTTCTATAAATATTCAGAATTTTAAAATGTTTTGTGGTTATATACTCTTCAGTAATTTTAGTTAAGCAGTGCCTGTATTAGTAGATTACTTTAACTCTCTGACTAGCTGGTTTGATATGGTGTAGGCTATTGCTATTTATTAATTCATATATGTGTGCAATTGATCCCATTCAACGAGCAAACTGATAGAATCAGGTTATTTGGTATTTATAACGGTTTATACAACATATTATATATCACACACCTGGAATTTATTTACTAAAACTATGTTAAAAGATAAAAAAAAGGATGTGTAGCAAATAAAAGATAATAATTAATAAAATTAGATTCAAGTTAATAGATAAATAACTTTATAAATAAATAAAGAAAGGCTGTAAAACTATTCAACCCGATAACCGATCTATTTTGGTTTCTCGGTATATAAGACCGAATAGTTTCGGTTATTCGGTATTAAAAACGGTATAAAATTTAGCTCATTCCTACTTGTTGCCATTGTTTTATTTTCGCTTCCCTTGAAAGTTTATTTTTAGCTCTTATAATCAGGTGATTTATTTCATCAAGTTTGTGATTTGATTAGTAATTAGTGTAGGGATGTCTCATTTGCAAGCTGGGGACGCTCCTGGGTCGTCTGTTGACATGTGTGACGCGAAAACCGCTGGGTTAGTTAAAAAAATTGAATTTGTATTTAATTTTTTAATCCTCTCTTCTTTTTTTTTAAATTTTATTTAAATTAAATGTATTTTTTATCAAAAATTTAATTAATTAAATTAACAATAGCGAAAACTAAAAAGTGAAATTTTTGACTCAAAAATTAATGATTCATGCTCTTTTGATGTCATTCAACCTAGAAATAGATTATTGATATTCTATTTAATTAATAGAATATTAATAATATTTATTTGTTATTTTGTATTTTCAAAAAAATTCCTAAAAAAATTTCCAAATGAAACAGGACAACATCGACAGACTTTTCAATCTCAAGTTCTAACTTTCTAAATGGTAACGAGAACACTTACAAAATGACCAACAAGGAAAGAGGAACCTTCTTGATGATTAACAACAAAATGTTCAATAGCAAAACTGGAATGACTGAAAGGACCGGAACGGATGTCGATGCCGATGCACTCTGTCAACTTTTTCAGAAATTGGGTTTCAAAATTCGTCGGTATGACGATAGGACTGTTGCCCAGATGATTGATGTTATTAAAGGTAATCTGTTTTTTTTTTTAAATTTTGTTATATTGTTGATGAAAAAACAAACCACCACCACTATCAACTAAAGCTGCTACAAAAGAAGACCACACAAACAATGATTGCTTTGCATTGGCCCTGTTGAGCCACGGAGACGATGGCATCATATATGGCATCGACGACCACATACCCCTGGAGTTTCTCTTGGCACCTGTCAAAAAATGCTCAACCTTGGCTGGAAAACCTAAGCTGTTTTTCATACAGGTTGGTTATTTTTGTGATATACACACACTTACTCATAAACACACACAAGTCAAAAAGTACACCTACACAACAAACAAACACACGCACACATACATACATATCTACACTTTTCCTGTTTAGGCATGTCGGGGAACAAAGTTGGACCCAGGAACGAAGGTGGAGTCGGACAGTGGCGACCAACAAACCATCAAAATTCCTATCGAGGCTGATTACCTCTATGCTTATTCTACAGTTCCTGGTTAATTCTTTTCTTGTTTGTTCTTTGTTTGTGGTTTGTTTATCTTTGTTGTTTTTGGTTTAAGGTTAGTTTGTTCGCGTGTTACTTGTTTGCTGTCATTGTGTACACACATGTGTAATTTTTTCAATTTTGTGGGTTTGTGGGAGATCAATTAGTGAGAAGTGATTGTTTAGAAAATAAATTGTTCTAGGATGTTATAAAATATTTTTGAGAGGAGTGTTATTTCATTCATTCATTAATTTAATTTTCCATCACTCAATCTATCAATTAATTAATTACTGCAACAGTCATAATGATTATTTATTCTGCATAACATATTCATTTAATTTTCAATCAATCACTCAATCAACATGACCAACTATTTACTAATTATGCAATTATAAAAATCATTTGCTTTTTCATCAATCATTGCCCAATCAATCAATCAACTAATCAATCAATAAGTTTATCAATTAATTTATCAATTAGCCAATGGATCAGTCCATCAATCAATCATTCATTTGAACCTGCACATCAACAACTCGATTCTGCAGGCTACTTTTCGTGGCGAAACTCATTGAAGGGCTCTTGGTTTGTGCAGTCACTGGCAGCGACATACGACGATGTCCTACGACAGCAGCAGCAACCAGTTGACCTGCTTAAGATCTTCACAAGGGTTAACAAGAAAGTCGCCTTTGAATTTCAATCCAACTCCAGTAGCCTAAATATGGATAAGATGAAGCAAGTGCCCTACATAGCATCTACTCTAACCAAGGATTTGTACCTGTATCCTAAGAAATAGATTTGGTTGTAGTCTATTGTGTGTGTGTGCGTGCGTGTGTGCGCGCGTCTATTATGAACTTACATCTCGCATATCACATTTTTGAGAATGACATTTATATTGCAGTTAAATCATTTGTAATTTGTAAGATATATAGTGTTTGTTTTATGTTCTGTTTAAGCTACTTGCATACATATTATTGAGTATAGACAGAGAAGAGCGATAGAGAGAGAAAATATTATTTTATGATTTGTTTTTATTATTCTTATTATAATTGTTAATATTATAATTGTTAATATTATTCATAATATTATCACTAGCATCTAATAAGTAGATTGATATTTTTAATTCACCATGGACAACACACACACAGACTAACACACACATATAGACACGGACACTCACACACACATACAAACACTCACACACACATACAAACATTCATACACACGTACAGACAGAAACGCACACACACATACAGACAGAGTCACTGACACACACACAGAGATACACTACTATTTATTCCTTGTTGCTCACAAAATAGTCGTCCACATTTGTTGTGCATCTGATTAATTAATTCTTAAATGTGTGAAGAGAGAGAGAGAAAGAGAAAATAAAAGAGAGAGAAGATAAAAGAGAGAGAGAGAATAAAATAGATCATTGTCTAATTATTTTTTATATCATCATTGGCATGACACGAATGTTAAGCTTGTTTCTTCTGTTTAATCGATGATTTATTAACATGTTTGGACTTGTTATGTATTTAGTTTGTTTATAATTAATTAAATAATCAATTGTTTTTATTTGTTTATTTAACAAAACTCTAAAATGGATTTCGTACATTTTTTTTGCTAACCACAGATATAAAAACTGTTTCTATATCTATGTCCTTTTTACATCTATGCTGCTAACGATTCATTTGTATAATGATATTTCTTTGGAATCAATAAAACATTTAATTAACAAATACAAAAATTTAACTCTTTTTTCAAAAATTCCTTTCTTCTAAAAAATATATCCACATTTGCCAACTGACTTTATAATGATTGCAAAAAATGTGTGCGTGTGTGTATATGTGTGTGTGCGTGCGTGTTTAAAAATTTAAAATATATACCAAAAATACTATGAAAGAAAAATAATAATTTATGTTGAGGACTTGAGCTGTCATAAAACTTACGTACATATTTTAAGATCTAACTCTTTACTTATTACCGTTTTGAATACTAATGCTACTATAATTAATGATACTAAAAATAATTATTGTTCATATTATTATATATTATATTGTTCACAAATATATATATATATATATATATTTTTACAATATTCTATAAATTCTACCGAATGTTTGGCGTTAATGTTTGTAGTTCGTGTTTTCGATTTTTCTCACTAAAGTTTTTTGGTGAACGTTTAGTTGATTAAAATTCAAAATATAATAAACTAAACNG